GGAGGGGGGAGTTCGGCGGTTGAGTAACCCTGTCTGGCTGTGTACAAGTGTGCATACGGGTGCGTTGGTGCAAGCATGGGTGTAGGTGCGTGCTCAGGAGGCGGGTGCGTGCATGCCCCAGGGGTGATTGTGCACGGGCAGAAGCTTGCCCTCGCTCCAGGCTGCTTGCATGCGATGATCACGGCCAGGGAAGAAGGGGTACTCTGGCATGGAGGAGGAAGGTGCTTTTTGCATGGCAGCACCCATATTTGGTGCCATAGGAGCTTGCCTAGGGTGCCTGTGCGCTCCCAAAGGCCCCAGGAGACCTGCTGACACCGGGGTGATTTAATGGTGCTTCTTTCCCCTAGCCCAAGCCTTGGCAGTGCGCCTGCAGCAGGTAACCCTGCCCTTGATCTCCCAGAGCCAGTGCAAGCAGTACTGGGGCAACCGGATCACCAGCTCCATGCTCTGTGCCGGCGGGGTCGGCGCCTCCTCCTGCCAGGTGAGGAGCCGAGGTCTTGCTGCACCGCAGGGAGGGTGGAGGAGGAGGACACGGGGGTCTTGCATCTACGGAGCCAGAGATTTAAGCTATAGCACCTGGCTGTGGCCAGGGGACCAGGTGGCTGGGGTGGCAGGGACCAGTTTGGAGCACATGCTGGGACCACTAAGCAGGAGGTGTCTTCTCTGCAGGGTGACTCTGGCGGACCCCTGGTATACCAGAACAGGAACATCTGGACCTTGATCGGCATCGTCTCCTGGGGAAACGGAAACTGCAACGTCCGCATGCCCGCCGTCTACACCCGCGTAAGCCAGTTCCGAAACTGGATCGACAACGTTGTTGCTCGGGGATAGAGCCAGTGCTGGAGGGATCCCTTCGCTGGGCGCTGCTCCCGGCACGCTGAGCGCGGCAGAGCCAGCAAGGGGCTGAGCTGGAAGCCACGCACGCTGCTTCATAATAAAGTGTCAGCGTTTGCTTGTGCCAAGCACTGCCTCTGGCTCCTTTCCTGGTGCGATGCAGACCGGTGTAGAAGGCGGACGGGGGGCAACCTGTGCTCCCCTCCTGAGCCCCAGCACCTCCCAGAGCCGGAGCTCGGTGCCCAGCTGGGACTGCTGGGGAGGCGCGAAGGCAGGACACGATGCGCAGGCAGAGGGGGAGCAGGGCTGGCTGCGGCTCGAGGGCTGCTCAGGGGGTCTTCAAGCACACGGATCTACACCCTGGCACCAGCCCAGAGACCACCACAGCGTTGAGGGTGGGTGAAGTTACCTGTAATGGTCCTCCCACTGACCCACTGCAAGGTCTCCAGCACCAGCCGGTCCCACCAGGGAAGGGACTGCGGAGCTGCAGCTCACCAGGCTCAGCACCAGCAAGCGCTCTCGGCTTGCGATGGAGGGTGGGTGCACGGGATCTTAAAAGATCCCTGCCTGCAATTTAAAGCTGTAACTCATGTAACAGCCTGGGAACACAGAGCTGAAAGGCACAAATGCCAGCGGCAGCTCCAGCTCTTCGGGAAGGTGGAAGGGTCAGCTGGAGAACAGCACACTGCTTCACACGTGCAGATTTGCCAGGTAACAGAACGGGAAACTCAAGGCCATCCCAAAGGAAAATATCTGAAGCTGAAAACAAAATTCAAGGCGAAGTGACCGGTTTTCAGAAGAAAGCAGTGT